GAACGTCACAAGATTTGCATCAAACTCGAGACCGCCGAGACCAAACTGATCAAATTGGCCAACGATGCACGTTTGCAATCCATCAAAGGGAAAAATCCCCCTCCTGAGCTACCCACGGCCAGCTACGACGAAGATGAATACGCAGCTGAGTCTGGCGCCGCTGCTGCCCGATGGGTCCGACCAAAGGACAGACCAACACACCGCTTGAAGTTTTTAGTCGGCAAGAAAGTTGACACCATCAATTGGTGCCGTGAGGAGATTGCAAGACTGAATCCGCTGATCGAGGCGGAACAGGACAAATACCGTGCGGGCGAGGCGGTACCCAAGAACGCTGTCTTCGTGGAATTCTGGAACCAGACTCAGGCGCAGAGTGCCTTCCAAATGGTTACCCACCATCAGCCTTTGCACATGTCTCCCCGTGTGGTCGGCCTCAGCCCAGAAGAAGTTGTCTGGTCGAATCTCGGCATAACATGGAAAACGCTTACCATCCGCAAGCTCGTTTCGCTAGGGTTTATCGTCGCCTTGATTATTTTCTGGTAAGTTTTGTCTTGTTGTATACGTGCTTACAAGATTTCGTGTTTCATTCATTTTTTACGCCTCTAGTCGTGGCAACCATCTGCCTTTCGATCAGGAAAGGATCACGAGTTTCTTCGGACTCTTGTCCACTTGCTGCATGGCTGTTCAATCTAACGGGCAATACTAACGTCTTCGCTAGGTCCATCCCCGTCGCCGTTGTTGGTTCCATTTCGCAGATTTCCTATTTGACTCAGGTAGTCCACTTCCTCCGATTCATCAACAAATGCCCCAAGATTATTCTGGGTGTCATTACAAATCTTCTGCCGGTCGTGATGCTTTCTGTCCTCATGTCGCTTGTTCCAGGTACGTTTTTGGTGGTTGGCGGCTATGATAACCAACACAACGTTCCTCACAACAATCAGCTCCCATTCAGTTTGGACTAACATTCCCATGCAGTGATTATGAGGTTCATGGGCAAAGTTGCTGGCATGCCCACGCTGTCACTCATTGAACTTCGTTGCCACGAATCATACTTTTGGTTCCAGCTAATCCAGGTGTTCCTGGTGACCACAATGACCAGCGCAGCAAGTGCAGCAGTACCGCAAATCATCAAACAGCCAGGATCGATTACTACCTTATTGGCTCAGAACCTCCCGTTGGCCTCCAACTTCTACATCTCATACTTCATCCTTCAAGGTCTCGTGTTCTCTTCGGGTCAACTCCTCAATATCGTAGGACTGGTGCTATACAACACCCTGTCAAAGATCCTCGACAAAACCCCCCGAAAGATGTACAATCGCTGGTCAAGCCTTTCATCTGTCGGCTGGGGCAGTGTTTTCCCCGTTGTTGAGTAAGGCATCTCTTGAACATATAATGCGACCCCCCTGACTAACTGGGAATAGATTGATGACCGTGATATCGATAGCATACGCCCCAATTGCACCTCTCATGCTTGGATTCGCGGCCATTGGCCAGGGTCTTTTCTATTTTGCGTACCGGTACAGTCTCCTTTTTGTGGACAGCTCAGTCATCGACACCAAAGGCCTCGTCTACGCTAAAGCTCTGCAGCATACCTTGGTCGGATGTTACTTGGCGGTCATCTGTCTGATCGGCCTCTTTGGTATTCGGGCGGCCCCTGCACCTCTGGTACTGATGGTTGTATTCTTGATCCTCATGGTGCTTTACCACATGTCCATGAATGCAGCCGTCCGTCCGCTTCTGTATTATCTCCCACGTTCACTTGAAGCCGAGGAGGCCGCCCTCCTGCACAGTGAATCAGCTTTAATGACTGGACCGGATGGCGGCCCGTCGCGTCCAAGTATGCATGAAAAACATCAGTTGGACGAGCTGCGAGTAGCGAAAGAAACAATGCCCCCAGGAGGCAATAAACACACGTCCATGATCAAACGATTCTTCCGCCCCGACATCTACGCCAGTTACGCGATTCTGCGCAAGCTTGTTCCTCAGGAGTTCGCCGAGATCAGATATTCCCCGGAAATTGAGCGAGATGCATACCAGGATCCTGCCTGCAATGCAGTTGCACCTCTGCTGTGGGTGCCTCGTGATCCCATGGGAGTGTCGAGGCAGGAGTGCCTTCACACAAATAAGGTCACACCAATGACAGATGAAGGGGCCAGTTTCGACGAAAAGACCGGGAGAATCATTTGGAATGAGGAAGAGACTGGCGGACAGCCACCGATATTCGAAGAGAAGATTTATTATTGAGCGAATACCGACACGGTGATTTTGCGGTCGGTGTTCGTTCGGATTGGAGCCAGGAATGACTTGTGCTTCAGCTTGGATCTTTTGAGTCTAGCCCAGAAACGAATGGGCTATATCTTCTGACTTGACACATATAATCACATGCCCGGTACGACATGGGAAATTTGGCTGCTAAACTGGGAAGCGGGCGTCTTTCAAGGAACCGGGATGTGGAAGATACCCCTGATGGCGAACATAGCGGAACAGCAGTTACTCATAATAAGAAAATTGCAGTAATGACGGTATTTCCAGCCTCGTGTTCGAATCACAACATGTTTCATTGAGCCACAAAACAAGATTTGTTCGATCAACGTTGTCTATTTCATATAGATGGATAGATGGAGAGTTGTGTAGAAGACTAAGCTAGCGCCCAGGTAAGCCGCGCAGCTTTGACCTGAACCAACGGTCACTTTCTAGATACGCAGGGCGAAATCCTTGGACCACCACTTCTCGGTGACCTTGACTCTCCTCTTCCGGCTCGCGGCGTAGGACACGGGTTTCCGCGCCTCGAGCTTGCCGTTGACCAGGATGTTGCGGAACCGCTCCGACAGCAGGTTTCCCTCGGGTCTCAGTCGGCGAAGGGAATCCTGCAGCTCGTCCGGCAGGACTAGTTCGAGGGGCGCGGGTGGAATCGATGCTCTCGACGGTCCCAGCGTGGCTTTGCGCCGCAGAAGGACCTCGGCCGCTGCACCTGCTGGAGCTGCGGTGGATGATTTCTCGTCGTGGCCACCGTCATCGCCACGCTCTTGTTCCTGTTTTTGCTGCTCGAGCAGGGCCTGCACGATCTCTTCGCCGCGTCTCTGCCGCTCTGCCATTCGCGCCTGGTGTTTGGCGAGCCGCTCGGCCTCCTTGCGCCGCTTGATCTTGTTCCGTTGAGCGGGCGTCTTGCGCTCCGGCCGTTTTCGCTTCAGCAGCTCCAGCGCGTTGTTGCTCTCATCCTCCGTCTCGAACCCTTCCCATTCGCTCTCCGGGTTGTCCTCGGGCCGCGGATCCGGCTGCCGGGCCAGTTCGTCGATTCGTGCCTGCTTTTCCGCCGCCAGCTGAGCCTCTCGGAGACGGCGCTGCTCGGCTTGGACTTCTTTCTCGCCCTCGCGCGTCAGCAGCGAGTCCCAGTCCTCGAAGGATGGGTTGTAGCTCTGTCCCGCGTCGGGTGGCGCCACAGCCTGGACAGGCTGGCCCGTGGATGTCAGGGCGATGGGCGGATGGTGGATGGTCGGCGGAGCGACTTTGGCGCGGGGTTTGGGGATGTATTCGTTTTCTGCTGTCGCGGCGAGGGACGCCGTAGTTTTGGAATCATTGCCTAATTTGACGGCGTCGGAGGACATGTCGTGGTCGGCCCAGAGATCAAATGACGAGGTGGCGTTGTCGATGTTCTCGACGTCCAGATGCGACGTCTTGTCCAGAGTGGTCCGCAGCCGGGCCACTTCCTTCTTGCTCACCCAGTCCTTCTTTTGCCTTTTGCTCGACGGCTCGACCACGCCGTCTGTCACCGCAGCGGCGCTGAGCCCCCTTTTGTTCCTCTTGGAATTTTCCAGTGCGGGCACCGCACTCCTCCGCCCCAGGATCTCGTCCATTTTCAAAACCCGGCTCTTGTGACCACTCTTGACCGCCTTGGCCTGGCGCAGCACTTCCTCCCTCGACCCCGTCGTGTCCAGCGTGAAGAGTTCGGCCGCATCCTTCTCCGCCAGGGGCTTTCCATGCTGGATGATTTCGTCGCGGAGACTCTCTAGGCCCTTGGTGACAGTGGTTATGTCGACGTTTTTGCGCCATGCTTTTTTGCCCTTGCGCGAGGGCTGCGTCGGTTGGGAGGGCGCCTCGAGGGAGGTCGAAGTCGGAGGCATGGTGTACTATGGCAGAATCTGGATCAATCTAAGTTGGATAGTGCAGGGCCGTTTACAACGTTGACTGTGTCTCGTCGTCAATGTGAGTATTGCACTTTGATTTCTCCGCAGCTGCCAAGGCGACAAAAAATAATTATTTCGTCTAGTCTATTTCAGGCTTAGGCTGGTGCCGCCCTGTGGCTTGTCAGTCCCTGTACCGAGTGTATGACTCGCCTTGCTCGCCCAATAAGAGCACGGGAAACCCCGACCGTTGCCATGCCGAAAATATACTCTGTACCTCGTACTCGGTATTCGTCGTATGCTTTAAGCCTCTGTAGTTGTGCTTCATCTGGATGAGCCATCCGTGACCATTGTACCAGGTCCAACTGTGGATTGAGACACTGCAAGACCCCTACCAAGTGGCCATTTTTTCTCTGCAGAAATGCCCCTATCCTACCTAACGCGACATTGCTCTCGTGTATTCAATCTAACTAGATCTATCGAACTCCAGGGCAATAAGCATCTATATGATCGTCATGCTGACGGCAGAAGGACCAAGCTTACTTGTTGCCAGACTTTAGAATCATCATGTTTATGATCGGTCTCAATTGAGCAGCTTGGGAGGCGGTCTCGGTCTCGGCGCCGATTGTTTAGCCGAACTATTTACGTCTTTTTGCCGAGCTCTCAGATGTTGTCTCGATACTTGAAAATGGTCGAGGGGTCAGTAACCACTCGCTCCTGTAGCTGGTACTGCTAGAAGTTATGAAAATTTTGTTTGCTCCAGCTCCTTTCAGAACGTCCTAGACCACTTCCAAACCTGGTGCTGTGAATTTTCCACCTCCAAAAACTCGGGCTCCTACAAAAAAAGACAAAAAAAAAGACAAAAAAAAAACCGTCAGAAAGATGACAGACTCCGAGGCTCCAAAGGCCGAGCGCTACTCGACAGATTTACTGAAAATACCCGGAATGGCATTTGAAATAACAGAACCGGATCCTAAGAAAAGGATAGAGGCCTATATTCAAGCATATCGAAATCCAGAGATGGCCCATGTGCAGGTACCGTTGTTCGAGACCTGGTCATGTGTTTGACTTCTGACTTTGTTGTCGACTCTAGACGTTTGATCTGGCTTTCATGCGCGACCACATCACCGTGGTGAGCGCGTCTACTACACCGGAGAAGACAACAGCCGTGTTCGAGATGAAGGCGGCGCCGCTCTTCACGAACCGCATGGGCAACATGCATGGCGGAGCCGTGGCCATGATCCACGACATGTGCACGACCATGGCGGCCGCGCCGCTGGCCAGGAGGGACTTTTGGTGGTTTGGAGGGGTGTCTCGGACGCTGTTGATCACGTATCTTCGACCCGTGAGGCAGAATATGGATCTGGTCATCGAGTGTCAGGTCTTGCAGCAGGGGACACGGTTGTCGACGATCCGTGGCGAGATGAGAGACAAGCGGACGGGCCAGTTGCTCTCGGTGGCGGAGCACAACAAGGCCAGCATCAACTTTGTAGAGGCGAAATCAAAGATATAACAAGAGAACGAGCTCGTTTTTGCGAGGGCGAGGGGCCTGGGTCGTGCGTGTATCAGTGCCGACTTCTGCGCATTCAGACACTCCAGATTCTGCTGAAAGCCCACTGGACCCCATGCGTTACAACATGGATAGACGGATCTCAGAATTCATCTCTTGCGGATTGTGTGCGTGAACCTGCGTAGCTGACCTATCCCGGTAGCATGTTCATGGTCCTTCAGAGATGGACACTATGTCTTTGTAACTATCTATACCGTCCGGCGAGTTGAGACAACCAGGTCTCCTCTATAATGTGTCCATAACCGCTAGATTTCCCCCCCCCCACAAAAGCCGAATTCCTGCCCAGAGTTCCCAATGACACCTGCTTAGAGGTAGTTCTAATCGGCCACTTCTCTTCGCTCCCGAACGTGCTCTTTGATCCACTGGATAATGATACCGTCCGTCTTCTTCCGCACGGCCGGATCCGTGAACTTTGACCCGACCGCATAGATGTGCAGTTGCGCCCATTCGATGACCAGTTTAGACTCTACGCCCGCGGCGCGACACAGCTCCGCCCACTTCTCCGAGTCGTAGCGCGCAAATTCCGCCCCGCCAGTGAAGATCAGCTGCGGGCTCAGGCCGTCGAGCGCCTCGGGCGCGTGGTGGAGAGGGTTGACCTCGGGCGAGTCGGCGGGGAAGGCACCGACGAAGAGCTTCGCGAGGGCCGGCACGGCGTGGTTGGCGACCATGAAGTAGTCGGTCTCGACGGCGCCGTTTCCTCCCTGGTACACTTTGCAGTTCATGTCGAGCCACGGGGATATCAGGATCGTCGCGGCGGGTTGTGGGAGGCCGACGCCTCGGAGGTCCAGTTGTGCGAGGAGGCAGAGTGAACCTGCACCATTTGATCAGTATAATAAAGCTTCGTGTCACAGGTTCGTATCCCTGAGGAGTGAGATCTCACCTCCAGCCGAGTCACCCATGAAGATGATTCGCTCTGGCTGGATGCCCTGGTCGAGGACGTATCTGTACACCTCAAGGAACGCCTTCTTCTGAGCCGGATGGCTCTCCTTGACGGATAATGCTGTGTCAGGGGGTTAGCTTTTTCGTGCATCATTTTTGAGCTCGTCTGCGATAGAATAAGATCGGGAATGAGGGGAAGGGGTCCCACGTACGGTATTCAACGCTCACGAAGACGAGATCCAGCTCCGCCCTGGACGCCTCCCGGATCCACCGCTCCATGTAGTTGATGTACATCCTCGCCTCGCCGCGTGCGTAGCCGCCGCCGTGCGCGTAAATCACCACACATCGCTGTCCTCGTCCCGACTTCATTGGCGCCGCGAATTCCGCCAGGTCCCTTGACCCGGGGATCAGATACGCCGGCACGGATCCTCCTTCGATCTTGCGAGCCCGGCGAACGGGCATCTTGCCCACGGGCAGTCTGTGCGTCAGGTCCGGAAAGGTCAGCGACGCCGAGCCCATGTACGCCCGCTGGACCTGGATCCGGAGCGATTGATAGACGGGGAAGTGGGGGAGTAGGGCGCGTCGAAGCAGCAACAGCAGGATCTGCACGAGAAACGAGTATGAGAAGATCAGGCCGCGGAGGGGGTGTTTCAATATCATCAGGAGGAGTTTCTTCATGACGGGCGACGGTCAGTCGACTGATTGGATTGTTCCAAATGATTTGTTCGTTGTTCGATCCAACGGCGGTCTGGCGACCTGTTTACCTGGGTTTAGAATGTCTCGTCTCGTATATGATCATAGTGCTGGCAGCGACCGAAACAAAAGGCGGTCACCCATGATTTCTACTGCACAGAGGGGCCGTGAGGGATGCAACTCCAACAGCCCATCTCACCGTCCTCGGTAGTTGCTGATTTGGGGTCCTGTAGTACTTGTGGGGGATATGGGGGTGATTGCCTTTATTCATACGGACCCCGCGATTTATCCCCTGGTAGAGACACAGCCGCATTTTAATTGGACTAGCTTATTACAGATAGAAGTAAGCATGTTACCCATGCATACCCCAATTCCATATATATATATATGAAGGTATGTCTACTGAGCAGGAAAATTAAGGCTTCTGGTATAAATATGCTTTAATCCGGTCTTAACAGTTTATTCCGCCTAGAAGCCTTTGCAAAGTCGACATCACATCACATGCTCGATATCTCGACCTAAGCCCATTGACAGCAGATATATATATATATACCCCAAGCTGCACTTCATCCATTATCACTTTCATTCAGGAAACGGAGCGGGGCCGCTTTAATCGCGCACGTGACGGAGTGTCGAGGGAGCCACGGCAGAGCACGGGGGAGCCCAGGGGAGCACACTGCAGGGAGCGCTGCCCTGATGCTGACCCCAGAAGCCAGTTCGGGCTCAGGCGTCCCTTTTGGGCCCTCGGCTACAATTGCCCCAGCTGTCCCCTTTCATTCGTTTTTAACCAAGCCTGCTGCCTGAAAACTTCGATCCCTCCGCCTGTGTGTTGGCTCTCAGGGTCGATTTCGGGCCCTTGAGGTCCTTTTGGCATCCAGGAGTCAATTTTGGGTTGCCAAAGCGCTGACCGTAGACTTTTTAAAAGCCGCTTAGGGATTTTGGAGGTAATTACAATGTTTCCCGAAACTGCCTTCGCCCTTGTGTCACGGCCTGCCAGGCCTTCCCTGGGATTGGCTACGCCATCCTGGGCAGGCTGGGGGCTCAGTTATACCGTAGTCTATATTATTATATCTATCGATGGTCTCTTGGGAATCTTCATACCTATAACACATTCGATAGACCTCGGTACGGAGAATGGTTAATCAGTCTCGCTATGAATATATTAGATAAGCCCGACTTCGTGAAGCACGGCTATTGTGTCCTGCTGGATAAAGTCGGGAAGACCAGAACGGCACTACCTATAAATGGACCATTTGCGGCCTGGGCTCGGCAGATCAACCGCCTTCGTGAAGGACAGAGAAACGGGTGAGAAACGGGTTTGAAAGTCTGACTCCATTGGTATCGGGTTCGACGTGACGTGAAAGGAGTATCTTGAGACTGAGCAGGAAGGACATTGGTATAAAGAGCCTGAACAGCTAGACGATATTACCCAATTTCTTGCAACCGTCGACATTGGGCAGTCTTCTTCAACGTGACAAAGACATATATCGGATCGAGGGCCTTGACGAACTCCCAGTATTGAGCATACCGGCTACTAAATCTCCCAATCAATCACAGACGTCACTCGGATATCCACGTGTTAGCCTCCGGTACTAGAATAACGTTTCACCAAGTTCTTTTCACATATTTGAGCCTACTACCCGAACTCGATATCCAGCTCTTGGGTAATGCACCCTAACATGGTTGTCCAACTCAATCACAATCTCATTATAGGTCAACCCTACAAGTCTCCCTTTGTCCTTGTTGAACATCCCATTATCGGTGGGAAAGACTTCGACTTGGTCTCCCACGCTCAACCACTTCAATGGTTCCGACTCTTGTATCCCAGGAGCTGGCTCGGCATAGTCAGAGGCCAAGATTTCCTTGGTAGAAGTCGCGCCATCCAGCTTGATCGGTTTGGGTCCCTGGGCTTTGGACACCGTTACGGCATTATCGAAGCGGGAAATCCATGCTCGTGTCTTAGGGTATCTGGCTGGAGAGAACAAATTCTCCGGAAGAGCTTTCTTGGAATTGAGGAGCCAAGACACCATGAAAGCGGCTGTTCACAACAATCAATTAGTTAGTGTTGCTCGCCCAGGAAAAGCAAGGGCACCTGGTCCCCGTAGGTACTTACCCTCAAGATCTGTCAAAGATGGCCGTTGCGTGCCGACAAGCCACTGTCGACCGTCGGCGAGCAGATCTTCGAACAATTCGAAAGCGCCCTGGATATATGCGTGCGACTCGGGCCGCCTTGACTCGCGTCCTTGTAAATCAAATGGTTTCCCCAGCAGTTGTTCACGGTCTTTTACAAATTTTGGATGGCTGAAATGTGATGATGGCATCGACCCCACGCCATGAGAGAATAGTGGTCCCTCTACATGCCAGATCTCCAATAGCTTCTGAATAGCGATTGTTTCGGGTGTTGATGTGCCTAGCTTGCCCTCGGGGAAAAGTTCTTCGAGCTTACGCAGTATGATTCGCGTGTCACAATAGACATCTCTTCCGATTGCCATAACAGGGATTCGTCGATACGCGACCCCAATTGCAGCCAAGTCCGGTCGGGGCATGATCATGGGCTGTTTGACTTCTGCATAGGGCAGCTGACGCAGAGCTAGGTACAACACAATCTTTTGAGCGTACGGGGAAGCCTCATAGTGAAAGAGCCTGATGCCACGGTCAGCGTGGCCCGTCATTGTGAGTGTGGTCGCAGTTGCGGTCGTGGTCGTGGTCGTGGTCGTGGTTGTGATTGTGTGTTCAATCAGTCTATCTTGTCACTCGCGTGAGTCTGGCTCAAAAATCAAGCGAGTGTCAAGATGCGTATGAAGATACATTCATTCGCTCCTGAGTAGATGTCCTAATACTTCCAATTCGGCCACCTCAGCTCAGACCTCGGCAATAGAATAGCCGGTAAGAGCCACAAACGGATGAGGGCGACATTGCGATGAAGCGCTCACAAACGGCTAGATACTTAGGGCGTCATTAACAACTGCTGCACATGGTTTAAGGAGCATCTAGCTAGTATCAAAGTCATGAACAACGCTGCTGCATCGTAAAATATATACAAGTACGGGCTGTTGACACTCACGCGTCAAGATCAAACACCTCTATAATCTCTGCTTCTTCTTGATAATAGCACAGCTCTTCAGCACAACATGAATTGGCCAAGAAAGTGACCAATTCGCTAAGGGAAGTAACAGACTCTCCCACACCGTGCTTTGGCTGATGTTCATGTTCGGGATGTTCAGAATTTCATCAAAAGGCCTTCAAAAGCCTCACTACACCTGACGTATTTCGCCAAGCACACAGGGCTGTGGACTATCGAATAGCCGGAGATCTCTTGTCCGTTACCCACACGTTTATGGCTGCCGAGGTTATTCACACATATGTATAGACGTCACTGCGAGTCAGAAGGCTAGAGAAGAATGTGCTCCCTCGAATCTTCCATCTAGATGGTCATGGCCGAAGTCTTTTATCTTTTTATACAAGGGCTTTCACAGCAGTCTCATATGTTGCTGCGAGCAGCAAGATTCATGGACTCTCTCAGGTGTCGTCAATCTCACTAGGTAGGCGGTGTCTAGTAAATTATTGTTGCTGGTCGGAATGTGCCTTGTCCCTGTAAGGGGTAACTAAGTGTATTTCAGCTATAGATAGCCTGTGTAACGAGGGAGGAGAAATCTAACGAGCTACCATCTATTGTGATGGGAATCCCAATTCTTATACCTTGCGCTATCGGGATGAGGACACCTGCCATCCTCATCTCATAGTTCCACTTTATCAAGCCAACCGCTGGTATCTCATACGAAGGCTTACTACCGGGTAGGGAAAGGCAGAGAGGATCGTAAAATGAGAAGAGGAAAAGAAGCATTGTCCCATAGAGTTGGGGGATTCAGCCGACCCCGTCCAGCAACATAGTAGGCCATCCTCTCCTCTCAGAGACCCCACCTTTCATCAGGGTCGAAACGGGCCACTATAGATGTGATCGAGTAAAGTTTTAATCAGGCTAGACGTACGCAACGTTCACGCCTATAAGACTGGAGCCCGAACGGGAGCCTCACTGGCACGTGAGGAAGTACGGTAGAAGCGGGCCAGAGCTGTTAGGGAGCAGGGGGGAGTAGAAGGGGAGCGCGAAAGAGTGGAAGGGAGCAGAAGAGAGCGTACGAGGGAGCGAGTGGACTAAATAGTCGTTAGCGGGAGAGCAAAGCGGCGGGAGATTAGCCAGCCAACGAGGCGCGCAGGACGACTATTCCGGGATTACACATATATATGTATATATGGCTACAGCCGGCTTTTCGTCTTGGATGCCTCCAAACGAGCCCTTTCACGATCGCGCAGCATTCGCCGCAGGATCTTGCCCGAAGCACTCTTGGGGATCTGGTCGACAAACTCCACACCACCACCGAGCCACTTGCTCCTGCTCTTCCGTTGGCGCACAAAGTCCTGCAATTCTCGCGCCGTCTGGGCGTCAGGTTTGGCCTTGGGACTCAGCACGACAAAGGCCTTTGGCAGCTCTTGCGAGTACGGATCGGGGATACCGATGACGGCGGCGTCGACGACCAGCGGGTGGCCAAGCAGGAGATCTTCCAGTTCGGCGGGAGCGACGCCCACGCCTTTGACCTGCGTGTTGTCAGCTATCTCATCGAGCCTCCAATGGGTGGAACATACCTTGATCATCTCTTTGAGCCTGTCTTGGACCAGAATCAGTCCGTTCGGGAGCATGCAGCCAATGTCACCCGTGTGGAGAAATCCTTCCTGGTCATACGTCTCTGCCGTGGCGGTCGGATTGTCAAGATAACCCATCGTCACTTGAGGCCCTTTTCCCCAGATCTACTCAACCGTCAGCACAAAATGTCCTGTTAAAAAGGGCCGCCGTATCCTCTGCTTACCTCTCCGCTCTCGCCCTCTTTGACTTCCTTTCCAGTCTCGGGATCCACAATCTTGAGCACTGTCTCTGGGACGACGGCACCGACGGTATGAGCATTCTCATAGGTTTGTAGCGGTGGTGGTGT